GGCTTTTGCACCAGGATCAGCCTCTGCCCCCGTGCCCATCGGTGCAGCAGGCTCAGGACCTTCCTCCCTGCTCGGCTCTTCCTCGCCCTGAGCACGGGCTTGAGACCTCCTGCGCTGCTGCCTGAACCCCTGCCCAGCCCCAAAAGAGCACCCAAAATAGTTGCTCTTGAGGGCTTCACCCTGATGCTGCAGGGAGCAGCACCGGTCCTTGCAGAGGGGGAGACCTGTGCTCCTGTCACGGGGCAGCCAAAATCAGCCCAGGTAACACCAGAGAGCAGCAAACCTCCTCTCCTCCCAGCCATGCATGCAAACCGGCCGGTGCCGAGCGTGCAGACTGCCCTTCCCTGGGGTGAAAGCCTCTCTGCCAGCTCCGAGGGACGGACAAAATGCAGGGCAGGCAGGGCAGGGCAGGGCTGAGCCCTGAGCGGTGCGGTGTCCTGCTGGCAAGGCGGCGGGAGGCGTTTGGTGGTGGCGTGGGGCACCTCGGAACCCCAAAAGCCACGAGCCCCTGAGACCTTGAGCTCCAGGCAGGGCTTTCCGGCATCAACCCCTTTGCTCAGGTCCCTGCGGGATGGTCCAGCCGTGCAACCTTACCTGGAACTGCAGCTTGGGAGCCAGGAGGTTGCTCTGGGGTGGTGGCTTGTACCTGGGTCTGCTGGGCTGCGGGGAGTGGAGGAGGGAGAAACGCACGGTGGGTGCAAGATCGGGGAGGTCCCACTTCTGCAGCACCCATCAGCGGGTTGAGGCGGGGAGGTGAACCTGCTCACCCATCAGCGGGTCGAGGCGGGGAGGTGAACCTGCCTGCACTGCCCGCACGGGCTCTGCCCTCTCCTCACCTTCGGAGGTGGCTCCTGGAAGGACGGCGGCTCCATGATTTTGGGAGGCCGGTGGCGGTTGTTCCTCTCCTGCTCCTTGGCCAGCTCCTTCTCCATCAGGTAAATGTCACTGCAGGGGGAGACGGAGGGTGACAGCCCCAGGAGGGAGCATTGGCACATCTCCCATAGCCCAGAGCGTGGGGATGCTTGAGCTGGATGGGCCATGGAAAACGTGAGGGAGCAAGGAGGGATGGGAAGAGAGAAGGGAAAGGACTGGGAGGACAGAGCATGGTCCTGGCCGGCCACACCAGCATCACCATGGCTGGCCCCAATAAGATGTGGGGTCAGGACTCCCCTGCAAGACCCCTCCCTGGGAAGCAAAGTATTTCCATTTCAGCCCAGGCACCGCCACCACCACCCTGGGGGCAGGTGAGCTCAAATGGTCTCAAATAGTCCTTTGAGTTCGGACTCAGCCAGAAAACTCCAGACCCAAAATCTTGCACGGCTTCATTTTTCTCCTTCACCCACTTGCCCACCCCTCCATCAAACCACGGACCCCCCCAGCCCATCATCAGTCCCCCGCCTCCCCGCTCACCTCAAGTTGCAAACCAAGTCCTTGAACTTGGGCCTTTCGCTGGGGTCGTAGTCCCAGCAGCGCGTCATGAGGGTGTAGAGGACGGGGGGGCAGAGGTCGGGCTTGGGCAGGCGGTCGCCCCTCTCCAGCACCCCAATCACGTCCTTGTTCTCCAGCCAGAAGAAGGGCTGCTTGCCGTAGCTCAGGATCTCCCACATGCACACAGCTGTGGGAGCAACATGAGCAACCTCAACTGATGCTAGAGCTGGGGGACCAGCCCCTCGCTTGGGTTTTTGGGGACCTGGTGACAGTGCCACGCTTTGCTGCGTGACACCAGGTCACTCGGCTGCTCGGCCTTTCTGGTCCCTGGGTGGAAAATGCAGAGGAAAGAGCTGCCTGCTCTCCCGGGGAGCTGCAAGGAGCCCAGCTCCTGGTTGCTGCTGGCCAAAGGGCTGTTAGGGACAGACAGACGGTCAGATGAGCACCAGAGGCCATGGGGATGGGCTGAAAGGCAGGGAGATGGCTATTTGCAGGGTCTAGAATTTAACTCAGCCCCCTGACTGTCCTGAATTCACTGGAGGAGGAGGAAGCACTTAATGATGGTTGAATTGCAAGAAGCTCTGCCCCAGGAGCCCTTTCCCCAAGGGCCAGGCCGGGATAACCGCCCCGCTCCGGAGCAGGATTTGTCCCCATGCGTTCAGGTGATGCCATGGGAGGCAGACAATGCCCGGGACTCTGCTCCGGCCCCCTTCCACCACGCACCGAACATCCAGACGTCGCTGGCTGTCGTGAAGCGGCGGAAGTTGATGGACTCGGGTGACATCCACTTGATGGGGAGACGGGTGACGGACGCTGGAGGGAGAGACAGAGGGGGGCCATGCTCACCGCAGGGGGGATGGAGCAGCCCCAGCACAGGCAGGGCAGGGCAGCGAGGTCTCACCAGGGTCTCTGCCCCAGCCCCTTCCCACCACCCCGTCCTGCTCTTGCAGGGAGCCCCACCGGCTCTGCCATCCAGAGAAATCCCTGCTCCAACCTCACAGGGTTGGAGCGAGCCCCAGCCCCATCACGCAGCTCTTACCTTTATAGTACTCCTCGTCCTCGATGTACCTGGAGAGCCCGAAGTCTCCCAGCTTCACGCACTCTGGGGAGGCCACCAGGACGTTCCTCACGGCAATATCCCTGCAAGGAGAGAGACCCTTGGCTGGGGAGAAGGGATGGAGAAGGGATGGAGAAGGGATGGAAAAGGGATGGAGAAGGAGAGCTCACACCCGGACAACCAGCTCACCCAGCTGCAAAAGGGGTCTGCAGCAAAGGATGCTGCCAGCCTCTGCCTCTGCCCGCTCCTGCTCCCCACCTGCCTGTCCCCCCACGGTCTCTGCCGTCCCCTGCCTCTCCCGGCATCCTGCCCGGCTCCTTTTCCCTCCTGCCCTACCTGTGCACACAGTTGATGGCCTCCAGGTAGGCCAGGGCTTTGCTGATCTGCAGTGCGTAGAGGACGAGCGTGGGCACAGTGAGGCAGTGCTTGTTCTGCTCCAGGTATTGCCCCAGCTGCAACGGGACGAGCGAGGGGGGCTCAGGGGCTGAGCAGGGGCAGGAAGGGTGGCAGGGGGACGGGACGGGCTCCAGCAGTGGGACCCCGCTCACCTCTCCGTAGGGGTAAAGCTCCATGATGATCCAAGTGGGCTCCTCTTCCGCGATGCCGATGAGCTTCACGATATGGGGGTGGTCCAGCTTCTTCATCAGCACTGTGGGAAGACCACATCAGACACTCTGCAATGGGGAGCCCCACCTCCAGGAGCCCAAACCCCTGTCCTGGGGTGTAGGGGCAGGTCTCTGCCATGAAGCCGGAGACAGAGCAGGAGGAATTGCCAGGGATAGCCTAGTACATCCCCAAAGGGGTTGGGGCTCCTGGTTTCCAGCTCCCCAGGGATCTACATCCAGGTGGTGGCTGTCTGCTCTCATGCAAGGATTCAGCAGCTTTTCTTCCCCCCCCCCCCCAAGTAGCTATCCCTTCCATAAAACAGGTATTTTGGAGAACAGACGTGTCACAGGGGCGAGGGCACGGGACACCTCCCTCCTCCTGCTCTGTCCTGCATGGCAATGGCAATTTGTTCCCATGCCAGGGCAGGGTTCTGTCATCCTGTCTCTAACACCCCACCATTGCAACGCTGTAAACACTGCCAGGCCCCCCACATCTGTCCTCTGCCCGCCTATGTGAGCCCCAGGGCGGGGCTGAGCAGGCTCTGCACCTCCCCCCCCCCAAAAGGGCAGCAGGACCCTCCAGCGTACCCGCTTCGCTCAGGAACTTGTCCTTGTTCTCCGGGCTGCAGTCCTTCTTGCAGGTCTTCACAGCCACGTTGATCCGCTCCCCTTTCTGCAAAGAGAAGGAGGGGGGGGGGCTGCTTTACCCGGCTCCCCCCGGCCATGGAGAAGGCGGGCAGGGCAGGGAGAGGGCAGGACACTCACTGGGGTGGTGTAGATCCCATCGTAGACCTCTCCGAAGAAGCCTTCTCCAAGGATCCTGCCCAACGTGACGTCCTCCCGGGAGATCCCGTAGTGCTGGACTTCACGGACAGGGGAGCAGGGCAGAAGTGGCAGCACCAGCGGGCGGGAAGCTGCCTGGACCCCTGCCCACCCCGTGGACAGAGCCCCCACGCTAAGCGGGAGACGTTGGCGATCCCTGGGTACCGGCCCTCTCCATCACCCCCTCGGCAAGGACCCACAGGTCCTGCCCCCTGGCACACGGGGTGATGCCAGCTCCTTTAGCCCCTCTGCGGGGTAAGGTGGGCAGTGCAGGCAAACCCTTGTTCCCAGCTTTGGGGGGATGGGGTGGGAAATTGGGGTGGGCAGGGGGAGGTGGGAGGGTTTGGTTGGGGTGCTGGGAGGTGGGCAAGAGGGCACGCAGGGGGGTGGCACCTACCTCCAGACCTCGGTCTTGAAGACTCATCAGGGATTTCAGCATAAATATCGGAGTCTAGGGCAAGAAGGAGGTTGCAGGCAGGGATTCAGGCAGCTCGCCGGGCAGGGGGGTTTCTGCAGCCCCTGCAGGCACCGCGGCCGGCCCTCCCCCAGGATGCTCGGCTGCATCTCGTCCCCCCAGGCAAAGGGGGTCCCCAAATCCCCGTGCACTGGTGTTCCACAGCCCTGCCTCCATCCCCCAGGCTGGTGGGAAGGGGGGAGAGGAGCCGAAAACTCACCCACGCTCACGCTGTCCGACAGCGTGGACTGCCTTTCCTCCAGGTGCCTGTGGGGTGGGAGGAGGTTGGGGTGAGGGAGCAGGGTGGGGGGGCAGGACGGGGTCCTAGCCCCGCTCCGGGGCCAGGGGCTACTCACGGGGCCGGGATCTGCGGCAGGCTGATCCTCTTCTCCCGCTCTGCGGAGAGGACAGCAGAACAGTCATTTCCCGGCCACCCCCATCAGAGCCTGACAGGGGCTGGGCCCCCCCGCAATGCCTCGACCACACGTGCAGTGAGTTTGGCGGGTCTCAGCTGGGGTCACTCCAAAGCCACGGGCAATGCTGTGGCGATGGAGAGAGTGGAGAAGGGCTTGGGGGGGCACGGGTGGGTACCCTGCTGGGGTCGGTGCCCCCCAGGGAGCTCACCTCTCCTGGGGAAGATGATGAGGGAGGTTTCCAAGTCCCCTTGCAGCCGGCAGTAGCCATCGATGAGGTCGGCCATGTTCTCCGCCTCGGCCAGAGAAGCTGTCTTGATAGCCAGGGACTGGGGGAGATGGCAGGGACAGGGGGACGGGTGAGCCCAGAGCTGGGGCAGGGGGATGCTGGGACGGGGGGGGTCCCCCCCTTCTCTCCACCTTGGGGTAGCTCGGTGACCACCCCCCTGCTCTGCAGCAGATCCCAGTTTCTCCAGCATCGTCCTTCCCAGCACCCCAGGACACGCCGGCCAACACGCCCGGCACCAACCCCCCCCCCGGGCAGGGGTGGACCCTTGGGGCAGGGGCACCCCCAGGGAAGCTTGGACGTGCCCTGCTTTGGGGGAGAGTCTCCCCTCGGCTGGGGCTGGAGGCAGGAGCTCTCTCGGTAGAAACGGAGCCATCCACCAAGTCCTGCCTAACCCACAGGGATGCGATGCCTCCCCACGGCACCGGGGGATCCCCCATCCCACCCACACCCCCCAGCACCTGGGGCACACCCCCCCCTGCAATGCCTTCTCACCTGGGGGGTGCCACTGAGCCCCAGCTGC